AGAGAAAATGCACTTTGAAGCCAACAAGGGACTGCATGCCTTACACAGAGATTCACAGCATCCTCCCTGGAGCAGACAAGTGGTGTCCCCCTCCCCTCCAAGCAGCATCTCCTCTCACACAGAGGGCTGCCTGGCAGCAACGAGGTCCTTCGAAGGGATGCTGGGATGGCAGGAGCCACTGCTTTGTTCTCTTCTTTTTCCTCCTGCTATGCCCCTGTTGTTTTCTGCTCTGATTGAAAGTTTCATGCAACTGTAGCTGTCACTGAGATCTGAGTTTGCACAGCACCTAGCACAGTGTCAGACCTGGCTTAAGATGAGGGGTCTTTGGGGTTGATTATTGCAATGCCAAAAATCTGCTTGATCGCAGATGGGGTCCATAATTTAAGCTTGGGAAAGGAGGGGAGAGGTTTGTTTGCCCTCTGCTGCAAAGTCTTACAGGGTAACGGCTGGGCGACAGAGCCCTCCAGGCCATCATGGGGGGCTCTGTGCAGTCCTGTTGGAAGGGTGAGCAAGCTGCTCCTCTTCTGGGACGTTCACCTCCTGGGTCTGTCTGTCTCACACCACATATAGATGAGGGAAGAGAAAGGGAGAGTGCCTGTCATATTTTAACCCCTTAATTCCTTCTCTCTGTTGTGTCTCCACAGCACAGAGCCCCACTGCAGCAGACCCTTTGCAGCAAGCCTACGCTGGAGTGCAGCAGTACGCAGGTCGTTAGTATTAACACTTTCTCCCAATAAACCTTTCTCTTCTCTAAAGTCTGAACACACATGAGGGGCTGGGGGAAGGGATGTGCTTGCTGATACAGGAGTGAGCTGGGAGCCACAGACTCTCAGATTACATTTACACTTCCTGTGAAAACAAACAGAAAGCGCAGGGTCTTCTCTCCCTAAGGAGGCAACGTCCTCCCTTTCCCCAAGGAAAGACTCCCACTGACATGTACCTCAGTGCAGCTTCATTGGCAGGACCAGGTCCGGTCTGCTTAGCACAGTGCATGAGTGCAAAATCAGGCCACTGATTTGGGGGGCATTTTCTATAACAGATGACCTGAGTACTGCAGCAAGGAGGGGAGATGGGCAACCAGACCCTGGCAGGGTATGGTATGTCTGCACATACCCATATTTTAGGGTATGTCTACACTGGCCATAGCCCAGCTAGTTAATTTGAAGCTTGCTTAGGAGGTACACAGACATACTCCTGGCTTCCCAGCAGCTTTCTCCACAGCTCCCGATGGGTCAGCCTCCACTCACATCATCCTGTACGCTGCACAGCTCCTTTGCAGTTGATGGACTGACACCAGCCAAAGTGACCTGGTGCAGACCATGACCCTGCCATGTTCAGCCTCCCCTCGTGAGGTGTTCATGGGCAATGAATGTTGCAAGGAAGCTGCCACCCCAAAGTCATTATTTCCTGTGGTAACTGGAGCAATCATGGG